TGGCCTTGACATCTGTATGATTCGTTAAGCTGTCTTTGGAATAAGATCACTGTAGCCCTGACCTACCATATATGTTGTCTTTGTCACTATGGGCCTCGATGGCTCAAACTCTGGAGGTATCTGTTCAGGTAGGAGTTTCAGTCCTTGGCCACAGGTGCTCTGAGACCCAAGGAAATCTAAAACTCAGGTCAATCTTCCCATTCTGAATCTACTCATTTATCTATACATTTAGTGCCTGCCAGTCACTTTGTTGAATACTCTGAGATACTGGTATTTGCCAACTGTAATTGGCTTAGACAGAGATGAAGAGATCTTGGCTTTTGCTTAGTTCCAAGGGATGTCATCAATCCACTGGTTTGGGAATGTAGATTAGTACCTATGTTGTAAGATCAAAGCTGAGTCTAGTAGCTGTCATGTGCTGTTCATTATTTGGTGGAAGATTTCCTAGAGCTGTTTGGTGACTTTGATGGAGAGGTCAGGCTTCTGACTGGGTGGAGGATGATAAGAGGGACAGAGGTGGACAGAGAGATGTTTTAGGAGAGTTTGTGGTGGTTTAGGAATGTGTTTTTCCCATCTGACATTTCTTCAAGAGAGAATGTACATTTAAATTACTTGAACTACTTTTAATTATTTTTGTTTGCTTCTTTAAAAATATGTGCTTTGTGTGATAGACTAAAGCAAGCATGTCAAACTCGCGGCCCGTGAGCCACATGCGGCCCACAACCAATATTTTTGTGGCACAGCCAATATAACGGGATGTATGAAATGTTTTAATAAAAATTTTGTAACTTAATTTTTACAATATCCTGTTATAAATAATTATTAATAATGAACTACAACGTTCGCTAATGATTGATTAATATATTCATGTTGCATTCATTTCCCTTATGCACCTTATGTGCAGGTGTGCCAATTCTCTCCACTAATACTAGCAGCAAACATTTCAGCAGCTGATTGCCACGTCATTAGTCTTGTACTGACTTGCTTGGTGTGCACAACAGGAAATATTTCACTTTCGGAGAACAAGAGAAATAGGTTTATTTGCATTACGCTTATTAATTTGTGCAGTTATTCAGTGTCTGGTAAGTTAATGCTCAAGAAAATATATTAATTTTTATTTATATGTTCTATTATTTTATGTTAATGATTACTCATTTATTTCAGCCCTTCGTATTCAGCATGTCTCTATTGAAATAAACCTATGTTTTTATGAAAATTGAAGCTTGTGTTTTTTTGCAGCCCACATAAACTTTAACCTTGTTTACTTGGCACATGTTAGCCTTTGAGTTCGACATGCTTGGACTAAAGATTTTTGTATGCATTGCTGCTTTTCTTTTCGATTCTTCCCACAATTACAGTAGGTCCCTTTCTCTTAGTCAGACTCTGTTCTTTATTGTTTCCTCATTTTTGTGGCTTTCACAGCAACCCTATTAGGATCATTTTTCTCCTTTTCATTTAACAAATGAAAAAAGTAAATACAGAGGATGTGCTTTTATGCTTTTTGCAAGATCATACAGTACTTTCCATCTGGACTGGAACCCAGATGCCTGACTTCTACCTCTAATGCCCTACAAAGATGGATAATTAGGCCAGTTGGATAATGATGTCCTCTCTAGAATTCCATTGCAAGTAGGTACATAGAATTGAATGGTAACATCTTAATTGCCCATTTAACTTACATAGAAATGTGTTTCAAGAACACCCTGAGAAATATGCACATATAATCTTTTGCAATTAATGAGTAGGGAAGTTTTGAAGATATACCAGTATTTAAACAACTGAAAACAAAGTTTGTCATGCCCATAGTATGTGAAAAATTCACTTTCTTTTATTATTTTTAAAATACATATTTTTATTGATTTCAGAGAGGAAGGGAGAGGGAGAGAGAGATAGAAACAGCAGTGATGACAGAGAATTATTGATTGGCTGCCTCCTGCATGCCCCTTACTGGGGATTGAGCCCACAACCCGAACATGTGTTGACCAGAATAGAACCCAGGACTCTTCAGTCCACAAGCTGATGCTCTATCTACTGAGCCAAACCAGTTAGGGTGGAAAAATGCACTTTCTATAGAAAATACCTGCCCAATAAAGTGGTTTTATTTGGAAGTTAACTGGAGGTTGGGTTGTAAAGATGGAATCCTGAGCTTTCTCTCTCTGAAGCAGTCTCTCTGTATAGATCACATTCGACGATGTAGATGGATCACACAGGTTTTGAAATCCTTTTCTGAGGCTTTATATTTAATGACATGCCTATTGATTTAGAAACTTAAAATGATAACATTTACTTACATAAATTTTATGTGTTATTAAGTATCTCCTTTCTCAGACTTGCAGGGTAATTTTTTATCATGGTGGGTCTTGGTTTGGAAACCCTAAAGAGTCATCAGTTTTTACTTTACAGTTAGACCATACGTAATGTAAGTGTATTCTGTATGTACCACAAGATCTTGGGGTTCCTAATCTGTTTTTTATGTTACTTAAAAACTGAGTCTTGTATCATGGGGGGAAGACATATGTTCGTACCTTCTCTAGCAACGGTCTTTTCCTCTATCCACTCTTCTGCATTTAGCCTTTAGTAATGGGACCGTCCAGCCCCCACCTCCATCAGCTTTGTGAGCATTGTGTGGTCTACACATAAGTTTCCAAATAGTGCAGGTCATGATTCAACCAGAGGGCTCTTCTTTCATTGCTGTTTGTTTAAATAAAGCAGTTTCACAGTCAGCCTCCCTGGCACTGCAGAGGGTAGAGAGTGACAACAAACAGAATGCACATTAGGGACAGGCTGGCTGAGATGACTCAGAGATACTTGAGGTGAGTGGGCTTTTAGTCAGGAGCAGTGAAGACTGGAGATCAGGCTGCTGTTGGATATGTGTATAAAGTTACTTCTCCTTAACCTGGATGGGTGCCCAAACCTCCTCCACAAGAGTCACTTTTTAGTGTTAAATTTATAGCCTCAATTTCATATATATATATATAGCTTAATAGTTTCTTTAGGTTCTCACAGGGTAGAGTGGTAGGGAATTTTTTTTTTCATTGAAACTCTCTCCCACTGAAAGCTTGTGGGAAATGAGAACAATGTTTTGCAAATAAACCCCAGCGGTATAATGAGCCATGAACACATATATTCAACTGTGGAATATAGTCCATCAGAAATACCTTGCAATCCCTGCCACCAAAGACAATCTGATAGTGATAAATAGTACAGTTCTTTAGAAACAACAACACACAGTGCACAATGTATGCAGGTACACACAGGCACACATACACAAACTGGTTTTTTGTCCTTAGGTAAAAAAAAATTATGGGTAAATAACTTACCTAGCACCTTTTGTGGTAATAGATGGATTAATAAAATGCCAAACCAAATCAAAATATAACTGATTAAGTGTTTTGAAAAGATATTTTTGTTTGCTTTTCTTCCCAGCAAATCCAACCAAAATGCAACAAAAAGAGAAATTCTCATGGTACGTGGGGGAAAGATTACAGGACATATTGTAAACTGGTGACCTGCAGGCCACATCTTGCTACACGTGTACTTTGTTTGGTCTGCACAGTGTTTTAAAATTTTAGTTTAGTTTCCAGCATTTGAAAAATTGAAGTATTCAAAATGAACATTAGTTTTTAACACCTCTGGGAAGATATGGCAACATCTGGCCGTCTTTCCAACATGGCAGGCTTTCCTTAGAGAATAGTTGCTGTCTCTCTCTGTCTCCTGGGCAGGGCGCTCACCACTCCTCATCCTGTCCTTGTCCCCAGGTGCGGGGTGCACTGCCTAGTTTGTCTTGGCTAGGCCTGCTTTACTCATTTACGTGACCAGCCTGCCCTGCCAGCTTTGGTTGGTGACCTCTCACTAAGGATGACCACAGTAGCCTTCAGCAAATGTTTTAAGTGCTGGGAGAGGAAGAGGCTTACTCTGTGTTGCAGAGAAAGAACTAGATGCAGGTGAGTAGGGGTTAGGGGTTGGGAGTGAGGTGGTGGGGCAGAAACAGACTTTTAGCTCAGTGTCTGACTTAATTTTAGACACTTGACTTCTCTGCCTTGAACTGTCACAGGAAATAGTGGACATAGTCAGATGACTATGAAGAAATGATTCCTCTGTTACCTTAGGAACTGGACAGTATTCCCTTTAAGGAATTCTTCAGTGCTCAGATTTTTAAAAACATTTTAAATAGGTAATATAATTCAAAAGGTACTGGAAGATGTACAATGGAAAGTCAGTCTCCCTCTACTTCTGTCCGTCATGCCTCAGCTCCTCCCAGGAGGCAAACATTGTCTTTCTTATGTATCTTTCCAGTGATGTTCTGTGCTTATACTGAATTAGGTATTTTTTCTTACATGAATGATAACTCGCTATATGTACTGTGCTGCCCTTGCATTTTTAAAGCAGTGATTATCCTAGCATATTGCATGTCTTGATCCTTGCATATTGGTATATGAAGAACAACCTTTTTATATTTTGTTGATTTTTTTACAGAGAGGAAGGGAGAGGGATAGAGAGTTAGAAACATAGATGAGAGAGAAACATCGATCAGCTGCCTCCTGCACACCTCCTACTGGGGATGTGCCTGCAATCAAAGTACATGCCCTTGACCAGAATCGAACCTGGGACCCTTTAGTCCGCAGGCCGACGCTCTATCCACTGAGCCAAACTGGTTAGGGCTATTTATCTCTTTTACTTGGCTGAGGACAAGAATTGCTTAAATGCTTGCCCTCTTATAAATTTGCTGTTGCCTGTAACAAAGACTCTCTCCTTGACCAAACTTGAGTTAGGCTCTCTGAGCCTTTTTCCTGAACTTGGCCCTCATTCTCTCTTTGGCCTGCCTAGACCCTTTTTGGCAAGAATCCTGCTAAGTGATAATCTGATCACCCTAGATATCTGATGATGGTACTCGTCTCCCATCCTTAATGTCTAAGTCAGTGGTTCTCAACCTGTGGGTCGCAACCATCGGAAAACACATAGAGCATATCAGATATTTGCATTACGATTCATAACAGTAGCAAAATTACAGTTATGAAGTAGCAACGAAAATAATTTTATGGTTGGAGGTCACCACAATATGAGGAACTGTATTAAAGGGTCGCAGCATTAAGAAGGTTGAGAATCACTGATCTAAGTCCTTGGCCAGCCTCTAGCACAGATCCTGCCTGTTAAGCCAGTTTAGCAACAATATCCCTTCTCTTGATGTTTCCTCTTAGTGACTTTCCACCCACTGACCCCCTCATTCTGCGCTGTATTTAGAGTCAAACCTGATTTTTCTCCCCTATTGCAATAGTCCTCAATAAGCTTTCCTTTGCCATTTTTAACCATTGTCAGAATATTTTTTTCTTTAATACTTGTTTCTTGTTCCTATGCACAATTTTTTATTTCGCATCAATTCAAAAGCATTAAAAGGAGACAAGAGTTTATTTTTATCCCATTTCATTTTTCTATATGGTTTAAACTAACTTATTACAGTTAAATCATATTAGCTGAATATCACTCAAAATTTAAAGTTTTTAAAAATAGCATTTGAAATGAGTCTGTATCCTTACCCACCTTTTAGATTGTTAAAAGATAATAAGATAATTTTTTGAGATGGGTAACTTATATAGGTATAAAAATGAACATGTGCTACGAGAAACTAAGATGGCGGCATAGGTAAGCACGGGGAAATTGCTGCCTCCCACAACAACTTCAAAAATACAACGAAAAGACAAAACGGACATCATCCAGAACTACAGGAAGGCTGGCTGAGTGGAAATTCTACAACTAAAAGGAAAAAAAAGCACACTGAGAGCCAGAGGAGCTGCAGAGGTACGGAAGCTCATTCGCGTGGAAAGGGGCTGGCACCTGAGGATGCAACTGTCTTTTTGAATCGGGAGGGAGTCACAAACTCCCAACTGCTCTGAACTCCGGTTCCGGGAAGTCTCTGGGGACCCAGGACTCAAACAGGGAGAAACTGGACTGTCTGGCAGCAGGCAGAACTCTGAACTTGAGGGCGGCTTTCCCTCAGAGGTGCTTGCAGCCCTGGGACACTGAGACTCACAGCCCCTTAGGGCAGGACTGAGGATCCATCATAGCTGCTTGCTCTGCCTTTTGATTCCCTGAGACCCCGCCCCACCCAGGCTGCAGCAGAGGCTTTTGCATATGAATGCCCTGGCCCTTTGCAACCTGAAAATTACCTAACAAATTGCAGCTGGGCCAGACAGACCCAGAACTTCCAAGAGAAGGCCCAAGGCCCCACAGCAGCTTGCATTGCTTCACAGCTGGGCCTCATCAGGGCACCTCCAAACTCCAAAAAAGGAAGGGGAATCTGCAGTTCTCTTTGTAGCTCCTGCTGGATAACCTCAGGCAGAGGCTATATTAGCACCTCCTTAGATCCAAGAGCCCGTGTACCCAGTTGTCAGAGAGGGGCCATCTGGATTACAACTCCTCAGATCCATAAGGGACACACTCAGGGCGCAGACTCAGTGAGCACCAAAGCCCCACTGAAACAAGTCTTGCCCCAGAAGGGTGTCTTCAGCACAGAAGTTCTCCCACTGCAGACACAGCTGATTCTCACTGCCAATTGGCCTGGAGGTCAATCCCTTCCAGTGTTACCTACAACACTCAAGGCATAACTACAAGAAGACTGTGCAAAAAGCCTACAAGGGGGTGCACCAGGAGTGTCCACCTTAGGTAACTGGGGAGGCTGAGCCACTGGATCCTGCAGGACACTAGCACACAAAGCCATTCTACCAATTCCAGGAGAAATAGCAGTTCTACCTAAAACATAGGAACAAACACAGGAAAGCAACCAAAATGCAGAGACAAAGAAACAGGTCACAAATGACAGAACAAAAGAATCTCCAGAAAAAGAACTAAATGAAATGGAAGCAAGCAAACTATTTCATATAGAGTT